AAAAGTTTGGCTTCTGGATATCCAACCCATCCAACTTTCACCACTCCTCCTTTTTCCACCTGCCTTCATATCCTCCTCCACACCATGAATAGGAGCACTATGAACCCAATGCAAATCGCTCCCTTATAACAATGAAAATGCATCTCTGGCAAAACACTTGGGCTAAAGAGCACCAGCTGGGGGTGTGCTGCTCAGCATTTGCTTCTGCTTAGTGAGGAGCTCCTTGTTTCTAAGAGACGTGAAAACTGCTGCAGCACACGGCCCATATTGGCAACACAGTGTAGATTTGTTTCAAAGAAAACACTGCTGATTTTTATATAGCACTTTTAAATAGCACTATCATTGCACATCTAGGCTGCTTCCAGCGTAACAGCAACGTTTCTGCAGTTCCCCAAAACAATTTCTGGAAGGAAAATGTTGCTGGATTTGGGACAACTGTGCAGAGAAGTGGATTATTTCTGCATATAATTCAAGGGTTGTATGTGGGATCTCTATGAGTTTGTCACTTCTGCACAGAAAACCACTACATGTAATTACAGCCCACAGACATTCTGGTGGGTACATTCAACCACCTTTTAAGTTACCAGAAGTAAACTGTAATACAGCTAAATGTGTGGTTAGGGATGCAGCAGTGACAACTCTACTCCTATTCTGAGAGAAAGCATCACAATGAAAACTGCAAACAAAGCATGCTCTGTTCCTGAGTTTCAGAAGCATCATCTTTAAGCTTGCAGTCAAGTTGCCAAAGATCAACAGATGAGAAATGAAATAGCTCTCAGATGAGGCTACCCATGGAAAGCATGAGCATTCTTAGTCTTCCACTACAACCCAGCCATTCCCAGTCTGAAGTGGAAACGTTCTGCTGCCCAATAACACCAGACACCCATTTGCATTTGCTGATATGGCCAACATCCACAAACCCCAAAATCCACTTTTTCAATGCAAGTCTTTCTGAAGACTTAGACCCCACTTTATTGGTCCTTGAGGGGTTACAGCAGTACAGTGCACATCGTCGGAACTGCAGATAAGTAAGAGAACAAGGACCTGAAGCCATTAAAAATTACCATGATTGCCTACAAAGATATCACACCGCTGCAGTAAAACATGAACATTTTATTTTGAGAAGAGCTCTGCTCACTTTCAGCTCTTCATAATCTCCATTGCAATGCCCACACACCTCCTGGCTCTTTCATGTCTTTAAAAAAAGGTCTAATACTATTTTGGCCACAAGGCAATCCAATTACAAGGTGAAAATGTTATGCAAGCTTATGTAAAGAAACAAAAAAAAAAAGAGCTGCAGCTTATTCAAACAAGAAAAGCCATGAAAATAACAAGTGCCTGAAAAGCTTTGAAACCAGTACTGCTGTGTTTCTTGCTCTTTGAGTTTCTGCTCGGTCCAGCACATGACAAACACCCAGGGCCATACTCTGGGCAGGTCCATTTCTGTGCCTCTAAAACCACATCTAAAAGCATATCTAACACTGATCTACGCTGTGTGTTCATCATCATTGCTTCTCACATCCAAGGCTGCCAGAGAAGCCAGAGCTCCTCACTGTCTCAAACAGAAACCACATCCATGCACCAGAACTGCTGCCTCCGCCGTGATATCATCTCTTGGGTAAAAAAAACACAGTAGAGTTTGCAAGCCTTTAACACATTAAGAGCAATTTCTCCCAAGATTCTGTCTCAGTTCAGCTCCCCACCACAGCTACAAACATCTCTAATCCCTGCAGGTTCCTTGCATCAGCTCTACAAACAGAGCAGAACGCTGCAGCACGTGCCAATAAACCCAGTAGCAGATTGAGATGCAGCAGTGTGAGCATCCCCCTGTTGAGGCACAGAGGCCAACGACTCATTTAAAAGAACGGTGTGATAACCACAAAAATGTGTGTCCCTCTTTGCATTATCACCTGGCCATTCTTTTTTCCCTTCCAACCCACTCCTGCTCTGTTGGTTTTGCACGATCCAACACCAAACACACGCGGCATCTCCAGCACCGCAGCATTCACGTGTTTTCTGCTCAGAACGGGATGATTCCTTTCAAACAACCAGAAGATGAAGATCTCAGAGAGCTGACAGTCGGAAGGCATCTCGGTGCACCCACCATCAGCCTGCAGTGCCACCTGGGCAACCGAGGAAGGCTGCGGGTCGGAAGGGCCGCACAGCTCATCCATCACACACACGGCGGCATTTCGGTGCTCGGCTCCCCCACGTCATTCAACCTGGAGGCTCACCGCTGCTCCCCACAGCCGCTCACAGCTCAGCTCCCAAGCAGGACGCGGTCCGGGCAGCGCCCACGGTCCCGCAGCGCCCCACGTGCGGAGGCCCCGCAGCCCAGCCAGCCCAGGCCCCGCGGCCCACACCGGCGGAGATCCCGGCGGCCCGGCCTCGCAACGGCGGTCCGCGGGCAGACCCCGGGCCGGGCCCCCTCACCTTTGACGTCCCCCGCCAGGGCTCGCCAGGTGGGGGCGAAGGCGATGCAGTGTCCGCAGGACGAGCTGTAGAACTGCACCACCCAGGCGGCCGAGGAGTTGAGCAGCGCTCGCCGCACCGTGCCGGCCGCCAACACGTTCAGCGGATCCTCCCCGGCCCGGTACAGCCGCGCCGCCACCCCCGCCGCCAGCAGCGCCAGCAAAACCAGCGGCCCGCCGCCACCCGCCGCCATGTTGGGACGCCGGCCGCTCGGGGCGGGGCGGCGCGGCGCGGGGCGGCGCCATAACAACGGCCGGGCGCGGGGACGCGGCCTAGCGGAGAGCGCGGCCCTCAGCCCGCCTGCCTGCGGGCACCGGGGGGGAGGCTTGGAGTGCCCGAAAGCGGGTTGTGGCTGGCAGTGCTCGCAACTGCTCCTTGTAATCACGCAAGGACCGAAGAGGAAAAGAAATTGATCCAAATCCTCGCATTTCAGGCGCTCCGTTTCAATTTCAGGGGTTAAAATGTAGGCTAGGATCGTTATGGCAGGCTGGCTGCAGCAGTGTGATATCTTTGTGGGCAATCATGGTAATTTTTAATGGCTTCAGGTCCTTGTTCTCTTACTCATCTGCAGTTCCGACGATGTGCACTGTACTGCTGTAACCCCTCAAGGACCAATAAAGCGGGGTCTAAGTCTTCAGAAAGACTTGCATTGAAAAAGTGGATTTTGGGGTTTGTGGATGTTGGCCAAATCAGCAAATGCAAATGGGTGTCTGGTGTTATTGGGCAGCAGAACGTTTCCACTTCAGACTGGGAATGGCTGGGTTGTAGTGGAAGACTAAGAATGCTCATGCTTTCCGTGGGTAGCCTCATCTGAGAGCTATTTCATTTCTCATCTGTTGATCTTTGGCAACTTGACTGCAAGCTTAAAGATGATGCTTCTGAAACTCAGGAACAGAGCATGCTTTGTTTGCAGTTTTCGTTCTGATGCTTTCAGAATTGGGTTGAAACGAGATGACCTTTAAGGTCCTTTTCAACCCAGGCCATTCTGTGGCTCTCTGTGCAGGAATCCCACACACCGTGCAAATCATATGAGAACCAGCAGACTCTGCCACATTTCCCTATTTTTGCCCATTTCTCTGTTTTTTGCCATCACCATCTGAAGTTCAGTCACATCCTTCCATCCACGTGCACTGCCCTGAGTCATTGCTTTCCTTGCACCACGCTCCATTGGAGCTTTTTGTCTCCAAGCAGTAACAGGAGGTGGTTACAACAGTGCAATCCAATGATCTAAAAGGAGAACCTTCATGTAGGTGCTAATTAGGATTTTAAAATCCTCAGATACTTCAGAGCACATTTTGTTCAGAAGAACTGCTAAAAGTGCAAAGATGAAAGAGATGGATTACGGGAAAATTAAATGTGGGGTTTAACTGAGAAATAATCATTTTCTATGAAAGATAATGACTCCTCTTGAGGCTAGTATCGAGATTTATTGACCCGGGAGGTTAATATTGATCAAAACCAAGGCAAACAAAATATTAGACCTTGAAGTAGAGTCAACTTGATATTGAAGTCTTGCCACTGACTGAACAGGTCAATATATCTGTGTGCCAGAATCTAAGGCTTGGAACAGATAATGGCAGGGGATATTAAATATGTCTGACATGTTCTGTGTGTACACTTTTTATTCTCATCAGCAGTAGTTACTTTATGGCTATGTCCTTCTGTATATAGCTATCTTGCAAGGGTTCAGGCTTCACTCACAAACCTAATTGCAAACATAACAGTGATCTTTCTCCCGTGTAACACATAGCTGTCCAAAATTAAACAAGTTCTTCATCTATTCATTCACGTATATAGATTATATTTTTTAATAGCTTTCATTCCCAACACACAACAAGTGATCCTGCTGCTGCAAAACTATAGTGAAAATAAACTGGAAAACTGTAGTGCTTCAATATATAGATTTGTCATTGTATCCAATAATTTCCCTGTGAGTCCAGGGGAAAAAAAAAAAAAAAAAGCCACCATTGAATTAAATTCTAATAATAAGCTGACAAGAAGAAAACACTAATCTTAGAACAAATAACTTATCTGGATTACTGGATTAATTAATCAATGAGGATAAGGGTCAGGAGGACGGAGGGGGCTGGGGAAATTCTCACCCAGGAAGGAAGAGCTCATTTAGTGCTGCATCTCAGCAGCACCATCAGCCCTAGGATTGCAAAGCAGGAAAGTCAAAAGCCCAACCAGAGAGCCAAGACTAATTAAGTGGTGCTGTGGCCAACTCTTTATCATCACCAAGTACTGCAGGCTGCATCAGGCAGTTGGTTTGGAATGAATTTGTAGCAGACTTTTAGGAAAATGTACCCCAGGAACATAAAAATAGTTTACAGGGTAAGTACAGAAGTTAACGTGCTTGGGACAGAAATAATCCTTTTCACAAGGCAGCTGCCATGACTGTGCTTTGAAATGTCCTAAGGGCTATTTGCAAAACAACAGAACTACTCCCATTCACTAAGGAGGGTAGCAGCGTATACAACAAAATGTGAAATCAAGTAGAATGTCTGTAAAAATAAGAATGAGATACATTTGATTTATTTTGTTTATTCAGAAAGCAATTCAGTATGAAAACAGCTAAACCATCAGTGCTTGAAAACAGAAACAAAGTGCATTTCATTAGTCTGTAAATATGATTTTAAATACAAACACAGGATGTAAAAACTGGTGCACCATCACCTCTGTAGTGGTGTGCAGCCCCTCAGGAGAAGTTTCAGACTTGTTCCCATTAGAAGAGTTTATTCCAAGAGATCAACAACAATTTACTTTCTGTAAGATTTAATTCCATCTGCGCCCTGATTTTCTGAAGACAGACAGCATTGATTTCCTGAACATTTTTCTTAAAATGTGATTCATCCATCATCATTCACAACCAGAGTGTGATAATGAAGAATAAGATCATTTACACATAAATTGCTTTTGAACCCTGTCTGTATAATCATAGACTCCTACACAATTTTAAACCCACAAGGAGCTCTTAAAATGCATAGATGAATAAAATGTTATCTTGATAAAAAAAACCAACCAACCAAACAGAAGAATAAAATTGTCACCACTTAAATCACGTGTAAAACCACTCTAAGAAGAGTATTGAGCTTAATCAGCATTTCCAAAGTTCAAAACTGAAGAAGAAAGTTTTCAGTAGCATTTTTGTTACTTGCATCTTTTCATTGTAAATATGAACGTGTAACTCAGGCCACACCTGTGTTGGGTAAAGCTCAGAGTTAAGATTATTAATCGTGCATCTCTTGCCTTAGAAGTCAGAGATTAAAACTCCACCATGAGGGCAAACTTCTAATCATTGGCTTTTCTCAAATAAATCCTGTTGAGAACTCTGACTGTATCAAGGATCAAGCTGTCAAATATGTCTTCAGTCACGCTCATCTTCACAGTTAATTCATCATCACCGTAGGAAGTCCACTGAGATTCTTCTTTGTGGAGCTCCTGAATCTAAAATATAACACAGATATGAATGTTTACTGCAAGAGCATGGTCAGTTCTGGGAGGCACCAAGGAGCTGTGCCTAACCTAATGATTTTACGTGTGCAATATTCACTTCAAACAGTCATAAGAAATTGAAATACTGAATAATTATTGCAGGTGTAGTGAAAAGGATGGCCATGACCTCTGCAAGTTCCAGAGTTACTTTAAGTAAACATGATGAAACAACGTGAGCGATTCTGGTTTCGGTGTAGAGAAAGTAAACAGGTCTTTGTTGAGAGGTCTGCTTACCAGGATGAGATCCACTCTGTCTCTCTCACAGTTTCCATACTTAGTCATATTAAGGAATTTTCTTTTCCTTTCTAAGTCATTCCTTTCCAGGTTCATTATTTTAATCATTTCCCCCTGAACAAATGTCTAAAAAATAAGAAAGGGTGAAAAGAATTGTTCTCATGAGAGATCTATCGTTGTGAAGCATTGGAGATGTGTGAAAAGGGCCAGTGTGGAGATCCAGCATCAAATCTAGAAATGCCCCGCATTTTAGGGGGCTGGTTTAGAAGCAGCTGATTGATACCGACCAAAGAACACAATTTCAATGTGAGATCACTTCAGGGGTAGCACCCAAGATTACTGTAACCATGGACATTCAGAAGCCTGTCGTTCCTCTTGAAAGCCCTCTGCACTTGGAATATTGGGACTAGCTAATTAGTGCAGTCTGTATTTACTCAGATATTTCAGTTGCACTGCCCCAACCCTTCCAACTTTGCCACTGTGTCACTGCAGTGCCTGCTCTCTTTACTCTTGTTGTTCTACAATTTACATTTCCAGAATTTACCTTAACCTCATTGACATCTGTGCTTCTGCAGCGACACCTACAACAGCAAGATCTCAAGTTTTCTTTCAACCATGGAAATGTTTTTGGATGTGCAGTCACTTGATACTCCTCACGTAGAAGCTCGTGAGTCAAATCGAATATAACCTGCAACATCAAAAACACAGAACCAAACTGAGTACCACATGATGCTCTTTCCAAAGTTCTCTTAGTGTTTGACAAAAGATACCAGGCTGCTGACAGCAGGATCTTGCATCTCAGCGCAGAATTTGTGATCACTGCTTACATCACAGATTTTCCTCTAGCTGTTGTGATGATCGTCACCTAACGAGTATGTCAGCCCGTACAGCAGCAGGTCTCAGGCAGTAATGTGTGATCATTCACTAAGTACAGGTTATGCACAAGGCCCTGGTGGGACTCAAATCTGCCATGCAGACAGAGGTCCACAAAATTCAGTAATTCCATGAAGATCTGTCCAAGCTCAGAGGCAGAGCACTTGGACTCTAGATTGTAGCTTTCCAGACAGTTTGTTTTGTCCTGACAGACCCAAATCTTATCCAGGGTCTTAACAGAAGAGCTGTAGCAAAGGGCTCATATCACAGCAAGGATGCCTATCCTAGAAGAATTATTTTGCAGTTCATTAACAGAAGCAATATTTTGCAGTAGCTTTGCCAGTGTTCCTCTGCTCTATTCAGTATCAGCAGCAGGCATAACAGTAGGTACCAGCTAATGCAATTCATCCTACAGAACACTGAAAAAAAAGCCAACAAACGACAACCAAACACTGAGAAAAAAATACCTGATTATACATCCTTTTGCTTTCTGTTTCCAAATCACTCCCTGGGAAGTCATTACACTCAGACTGCTTTGGCACACTGGTTCTTGTGAAATTGGAATAAATGTTTTCTGGAGTCCATAATTCTTCTACAGCATATGCAGACAAGTTCTTTACATATGAAGTGTAGTGTGGTACCACAAGGGGAACCTCTACAGTTTTCTTCCAAGGAGCTGAGTGCCAGTGATCCAACAAGTATTGCTTTTGTGTTTGCCTTTCCAGAGCGCGTTCGTTAGAGTTTGGCTGATCAAAGTCTTTAGAGCTTCCAAAAACACCGGCGTCGAGGATTTTTAAAAGGAACTTCAGTGGGGAGAGAAAGAAAAACAAGGTGATGTACCCCATGCTTTTCCACTGTTTTTTAGAGGTATTGAAATCATTAGCAAGTGATTTAGGGCTACACTTAGAAATCAGGAATCATATGCTCTCACTCAGGGGCTCAAATAAAGGCTTACTGATGCGTCAGAAAGAAATATATATTTTAATTGTATTTACTAGAATTCAGAATTAGATTTACCTATTCGAATTCTATGAAAGCTTTTGCTATTTCTACATTTTTGGTTCTGATTTGGGGTTGCTTTTCCTACCCACTCCTCAAACCAAGTCTCGATTGTTTTTTAAAGCTTTCTTTTATAGTGCTTCCCAATGAACTACTTTGGAAGCGAAAAATGAACAGGCTGGAAATGGAAGCAGCAGGCATCAAAAGTGCCGTTTCATTGGAGTTCCAGGCTCCCCAGTAGGCTGAAGGAGAAGTGAGAGAACACTGCACACACGTCATCCACCAGCTGCAAAGTTCTTTAAATGATGGTTTAGTAGTTCAGCTCCATATGTCCACACAATGCAATTTTTGATGGAGAAACAACTGGGCAGCAGAAATGCTTGCAGCACAGACCCAATTTCAGATCCAACACTTAAGGTGACAAACTTTTCTGAGTGTACTTACAGGCAAAACAGTTGGAGAAGTCTCTGAAGATGAAGGAAACCTCTTGTCTGTTTTTACTCCTTGTTTTCTTTTAATCTTCTTATATTCCTTAACTGCATCCCCTACAAATTTAGTCACAATTCTTTCTGCTATCGTGTGACAACCGTGAATGCTAAGCATATTGAAATCATGCAGTAAAAGATCAGCAACCTTTGCTGATTGCTCAGTTAAGCTAGCAAGTGGATTTTCTTTGATAAGAAATTGTTTCTGACTGTCCCCTTGTTTTAGGCCTTTGATATAATTCACCACATTTTCTTCAAAGGCACCTTTGTATTTGTGTTGAGCTGTTTCAGAGAATGCAATCAACGCATCAAGTAGAAGTTTCTTACTGAGTTCAGCTGCGATATCATCAGTGAGTTTATTTCTTTTCTGATCCTCTACCAAGCAACAAACACTTTTGTTTGTGTTCATGCCATCTGCATGGGTAGCCTCACTTTCCTTTGGAGGCACACCTGCGAGCACCCCTTGTTTTATTTGTATCAAATCTGTTTTTTCTTTATCTGATCCCCAGCACATTAAATTGTTTTGGTGATGACATTCATCACATTTACAGTGGTCAGAATGTGGAAGTGTTTGACTTCTTCCACACTGCAAGGCAACATACAGCCTAGACTTCTTTTCTGACACTTCTGATCCTCCTGGACTTTTTGTATCGTCAGCTTTCTGCTCTGTTACCCCTGCACCCTGTTCACCAACTTCAGGGTATCTGCAGTCTCTTCTGAAGGATTCATCATCATAGAAGGAGTCTGAGTCTTCATCCCCAGTGGAACTGGAACCATTGTTGTTATCCTCCAACAGGTGTGAAATCTCACCAGGTCTGACAAAGACACCACAGTGCTGTGCACATTCAAAATACTTCACCCCTTTGTAAGTTCCAGCATGATCACCTTCAGCTTTGTCCAGTGCCACACCAGCCCAGTGGCCGCTATCAAAGCGAGTCCGTCCTTTGAACATCAGGGTTCCAGGTTGGGTCTGCTTTACTAATACTCTGTCTCCAATTTCAAATGCTGACAATGGGTCATCACTGTCCTCCCCAGCTAATGGCAGCGTTATGTATGTTTTGCATTGTTTCATCGTGGAAGCAGGATTTTTACTGGCCTGACTAGAAGAAATAGGATCTGACACAGGCAGAAGCTCCAAAGGCTGTGAAGGCATCTCCTGTTCTCCTTCATGGTATTCTGACAAGTGCTCCTTTGCACAGGAAATATCTTCAACTAAATACTGTTCTGAGAGGTTACCTTCCCGAGTTGAAAAGATATCAACTGGCTCTCGATTGAACGAGGGATATTCTTCAGACACAGTGTCATCAGGTAATGGGGGAAAAGCATCCATTTTCAGGGATACATCTTCATTCATACACTGTCCAGTCTCTGGGGCTGTCATCTGTTCTGGTGGAGATGGGAAATCATCTGTACTGAAGCTAGAATCATCATTTTTCATTGTATCTACACCCAAAGGGGGAGGAGGGAGATCTTCCCTTGGAAATGACAAATCCTTTTTATTAGAGGATGGCAAGTCAGCACTTGCATAGGACAACACTTCATCAACAGGAGACAGTATTTCTGACAAGGTAGCCTCATCAGCCAGAGGAAGGCCCTCATCACTAATAAAAATTGTACAATCTTCACTTCTGAAAGAGTTCTCAGAGTGAAACAGTTGCTTTTTTGAGGAAGAAAACTGTCCATTCCCCAGTTCCTTTGTGGCTTGCCTGTCAGTTTTTGAGTTCTTATGAGTTCCTGAGGCCAACCTCTGCAAAGACCCAATGGAGGTGGTTTCTGTATGGACTTCCCCAGAAATTCCCTGTGTGGACAAGGGCAGAGATATAATCTGATTGAGTTCTCCAGATATGCTTTTCTCATGCAAAAGCTGTGCATGATCATCTTGCACTGTTGCATTTCTGGACAGTGAACACACTACTAATTTGCCATTTGCAATATCTTTGTCAGGTGGAAAAGAGACAGTGCTACTAAACTGGTTATCAGCCACATCTAAAGGTTTCAAAGAACCCATCAGCGGAAGGCCTAATAAGCTGCTAATTCCATCATTCCTCTTTGATTTGTTAGTGATAGAATCAGGAGCGTGCTGCTCGTAGTTCTGAAGGAGGTAAATGCCATCACTGCACAAAGAGCTGGCAGCTGCATTTTTTGAGTTCCCTGAGGCTTCCAAGTGCAGCTTATCCATTCCCTTGGTGGGTTTACCAAACCGAGAGGAATCCAGTGGTGTTGTTTTGGAAGTATTTGCTTTGTCTGCTGAAAGGAAAGAAAGCAAGTGACCGGTGCACCCATGAGCTGAAGCCTCTCCAGGGCATTTCTGGAAGTTCGGAGAGCGTGATGAAATCTCTGTGCTGCTGTCATCCTTGGGCTCTTCAAGTTCATTGTGTTTGTCACTTTGTAATGTTTTCTTCCCAGAATTTATTGCTATCGGTGCCTCTTTCGGAACATTAGAAGAAGCATCGTAGACTAATTCTTCTGGAATACTGACATCATCAGCGTCCTCTCCACCTTGCACCTCTAATTCAACATCTGAAATAGAGCATTCTGAAACATCAGTCCAAACTGCAGACACTTTCTGAAAATCTGGGAGAGAACAGTCAGATCTGGCACTTTCAGAGCATGGAGAGAAGCTGTTTGACTCGCACAGTGATTCAGTAGGACCAAATCCTTCAGAAAAAGCTTTCCTCTGTAGTTCTTCTGCAGAAGTTTCTCGAGAATGATGGCCCAAAGGCTTCAGAGACTGGCTGCCATCCACCTGGTGGATCTCAAAAGGGGCAGACATTTCCACTTCGTGTGGAACATCTAAAGAACAAATTCAAGAAAATGTTTCTATTTTGTAGAAGAAGTTGCTGAGAGGTAACTGGATTCAAATCTATTGAATACTCAGCAATAAATTGCATTTGAAAATTCTGCAGCATTAAATTCACTATGAAGTTGGAAAGTATTTGGATATCATAAAAACAAGTCAGGCTTATCAAATAAAGATGAAGAAATGAGTGTTGTAGCAAACAAGCAAATACAATAGTGCCAAGGTAGTCGATCAGAAGAGTCAAAGGCAAAGTTTTCATTAAGATCTCTATTATTTCAGCCCCAAGAGGAACTTCACTGCCTGATACAAGTAGACCATTATTCTCTATGGACAGAGAGTTCTCCAGGAAGAGCTATTACTAAGATTATGATAAATAACCACAGCAGCCCTATGGGGAAAAGGCACTTACCTTCTGAAAAAAGGATTTCGGAAGGTGCTTTTTCAGCTACACGCATGATCTGTGATTCTCTTTCAGAATCTGGGCTAACTCTGAAAATACAGCATTGTAATTGGATTAAAACTGAAATCATGAAGTGCACGGCACTCAGTGTTCAAAAATGTTGGTGCATTACATTACGTTTCTCTAGGTGTATCTGCTACCCATACACAGCACAATGCTGAACACGGCACCTTGTTCTCAACTATTACTTCAGATGCTATTAAGACCAAAGCACTCTGTAGATACATTTTCTGAAGTTCATTTCAACATTCATTCAGTTGACTCAAAAAGAATTAGATGTTCAAAGAACAGAACCAACTATGAGCATCAAGCTCAAACAAGGCAACATTTGACACATGAATAAGCAGCAGAAGGTAGGACAGGAGGTCTTGATCTTGACAGGGACAGTACCTTAGCTCAGCTAATGAACTTTCTTTCCTTAAATGAGTTTCCATTACTGTAGATTCACTTGACATTGGTGCTGATCTTTTTTCACTGTCTTGGCCATCAAAAGAAAGATCTTTCTTCTTTGTCCCAGCCTGAAGAGGCAATGATAAAAAAAATAAAAAGCACTGAATAAACAAGAAAACTGAAGAATGCCAGTGAATTGCCATTGAAATTTCTCCAGGTTTAAGGCAATACGGCACAACAGAACTTCAACGCAGTGTCAACTTCATTATGTACAAGCTGAGTTCCAAGTGTGATATCTCCATGACAGACCATACCTTGCATTTCCTCCCTTGAAAATTTTATGCAAAGATAAAAAAACAGGTAAGAAAAACATAAGCTTGAAACGTGCCTGAAATGCACCACACGGGTCCTGTTCTTCTCTACAAGTCCTGCCATTTCTCTGCTCCCTGGGTGCTTTCTCCACTGTCACAGGGTCATTCTCTTGATCTTGTAAGAATGAGGTGTCATTACCTGAAATGTACAGATCACTCAGCACAGAAGGAAGATGTGAAAGCCTTTCACCCTAAACTGATTGTTTCCCTGTTTTTATTTTGTCCTTACTCCTTGTCACCCCAACAGAAGCTGAAGGGGCACTGACCTTATTCATACAACCACCCCCTTATTTATCTTCCAGTTATGGAGCAGAAACTGTAATTCTCATTCCAGAAATGTCTACGCAGTCTCTCCTCCTATGCACAAATGCCACCCCAACAAGACCACTTACAGCTTGTCACACTTTCTTCTTGCTATTCCTGAACAGATCCTCGCACCAAAACCCACACTGCAGACAAACAAGGAATAGATAAGCATCACAAGTTCTCTCCCATAGGCTACTCAGCTTTACAGTCCTCTTCTAAAAGATCATTTGAACTGCTCCAGAGCACTGCCGAGGTTTCAACTCTCGCCTTCAGTAATTTAACTTGACCAGGTGTTCACAGTTGGCTACAGAAGTCCTTTTTTAATTGTGTACCTGCGTTTGTGGAATGTCTGATCACAAAGACCATGCCTGTGGTTTGACTGGTAGCATCACACAATTTCTTGGCCACTGTTCCAGACACATCAGGACCTCGTGCCCCCAGGGACTGCTGCAAACTCAATGGCTCCTCTGTCTGTTGCTGGCACTGTAGCAGTGCTTTCTTACTCTTGGTAGAAAAGCTGAAAACAGTCAGACAAGGAATTCATGACTGGGAGTTTCTTTGTGTTCCCAAGTCACAACATGCCTCTGCAAAGTCGATGAAGACATGAAGTAAGAGTTTCTGGTAGCCCATGCTGGTACCTATACTAGTAGCATATGCTTGCATGCACATGCTTATAAAAGCCAGCTATTTCTCTCTCTCTCTTCCACTCACAGTACTGTATTTTATACAGGCGTACCAGAACAGAAGACTAGAAAATAAATCATCAGCTCTGAAAATGCAAAAAAAAAAAAAACCAAACCACAAAACCAACTCCATGACTATCAAGTATTTAAGGACATGAAACCCAGTATCCCAATTTGGCAGATTCATTCTCAATCCTTAGCCAAATGCTTGCCTGCTTACAAGAATTCATAACTATAAGCTCCATGTTCCTTGTTTCTTGTATTTCACATCTACTGTTGAAACCCCAAACCAGCAGCTTTTTCTGCAGGTTAGCAATTTATTTATTACTTTATTTTTTAAATAGCATTTCCCAATCCCTTCCATTTCCTGACAGCCCTGCTTATTAACTTGATCTTCCTGGTCAGGATGAAATATTAACATACCTGCACAGGGGGTGGATGGCATCATTACCACTCCACACTTATATGGGAAACAGATCTATACACAGTAATGCAGCAGACAGAGTTTGGGTGCACTGAGCTCCACCAGGCCCTGTCTGCCCCAGACTTATGCTAATACTGCTCTCCTATGAGCAGGCTTGTCAGTAATAAGAAGCAAAAGCACAGCCAAGAAACCTTTTAAAGATCTCTGTGACTTGTAATCAATAACACCATGAGTTATGGATCAATTCCATGACGGGATTTATTTGAAAGCCTTTCCCTGTGGGCAGTGTACTGGCCAGTCTGCACAGGATCTGGGGAACACCAAATGAGGGAGCTTCTCCTGTTGTCTTCAGTCGCTTCTCCTGAAGCAAGCTGGACGTTTGTTCACCTGAACCATTTGGTACAGCCACACTGAGCAGCACGAACACTGCGAGTCCTCACCTGCACTGCTCAGCACCTCCTGCTCAGGGCAAAGCAAATGGGGGTGTTGGGGTGATGGCATCTGGGGAATGGGACGTCAGTGCTTTCTAGGAACAGTTCTCCCTGAACTCCCACATTACACGTGATTGTGGGTATTTTACTGACACTTCTAAGCATCAGTTTATGCATAACTTGAAGCCCCATGTAGCACAAAAGCCTTCTGTAGTTAAATCCCAAGCGAAAGACAAACCTGCTCTGAGGGGTTAAGTGATACATAACCTTAGAGTGGATGACAAAGGAGTGATTTTCACCAATTAAATCAATACGTTTCTACTCACTTCACCTGGGTATTTTGAAGTTTAATTAATATATAGTTGCAAAGTGCTCTGAGCTTGTAGTTAGAAGTCATCATGACAATGTGAGTTATCATCAGACATTGTATGGCATCATTTAAAAATATCCAGGTTATTAAAGCTATGGAAATCAACTGGCATAGGTCTGCTGAAAAAATTACAGTTGTTCCCAACGTTACAGAGATGGGCTTCAGTCCCACAGAACTGCTTAACAGCTCATAATACAGATAATCCTAGGGAAATGGCATACAGTGGTAAACGTATTCTACTTGAAGAGTTCAGCAAGTAATATGTAACCTTTATATATCTCCAGATATGGATCTATACCTCAATTTACTGGGAACTGTTCATATACCTGGCAATAAGCTGGTACTTGCCCCAGTGAGCTTACCATTTTAGATACGAGATGGCAGACTGAACAAACAGAGGACACCCGAAATAATCGATGAGGCAATATCGGTCAGAATGTTAAGCAGGGATATTGATGCATCAACTGCTTGACCACGGAGGTTTTCAAAACTTATCATTATAAAACGCCCTCTTGGGAGCATTTAAACCTCACACAATTATCTGGGCTGTAACTGCTCCTGCCTTCCCCACCGGATTGGTTTTTGTCTTCTGCTATCACTGTGGAATGGGTTTTACTTACCCATCATATTTTTTGTTTTGTTTGTTCTTCAGCTGGACATAATTCTGTTTATCCCCACATGCATCAGGCCCTGAAGATTCTGCCAAGGGGGAACCTAACATAGCATTAGAAATCTGTCTCATCTTTGGTTTAATTACTTCTTCAGTTGCTGGGCTCCTGGTAAGCTGAAAGGAAAAGGACTGCGTAAGTTTTCACCTGGGTATTAGCTGCAGTGCCAGCTCTGACTTTGTTATTATCTATCCACATAAACAACCAAAAAGAGCATTGAGACTTCTATTAACAGCCTCATTAGGACTGCAGAAGTAATCAACAGGCTAAGAATTAGTTTAATGGAAACAATCTCATGTAAGAATTGAATGGTCTGAGATGCTGAAGTCCTGTTCAGATCCAGGTAGCAACCGCTTTTATGAGAATCTTTACCTTAGATTCAATTCTAATAACGAAGAACACCTGTTTATAAGAGAATAAGCAGATGTCCAGCACACAAGTCCACGCCTAGCACGACCTGCACCCACACAATTAAAAGCTATCACTCATTAAGTGACTTGATAACCTTTTTCTTCCCAGTTAGATGATGCAGTTCTTCCCGGAGTTTCGCTGTTGATTGCTGCATCATTAAGATTTCTCTTTGTTGCTTTAATAAGAGTTTCCTCTCTTGATGGGCCGCCCTGTAGATATTTTGCAGGTGCTGTATTTCTACCTGCATAAAGCAGAGAAAGAAAACAGTAGGAGAGAGCTAACAATAAATTTTAAAAAACACCAGAAGGTAGGAAACAAACGGAACAGTGCACATGAAATAACACCAGTAACCTTTTCCCTTTAAAAATACAAAAAAAGCAATACGAAATCTTGCTCCAACCACCTCCCAGTGCTGCATGAAGCAGGGGGGGATGCAATGAGCCCCAGATGCTGTTGCAGCATTACCTGCTCTTGTTTCAGCTCTGTTAGGACTCTGCGCTGCTTCTCAGCCATGGCAGAGGCTCCCTCGGTGTCTTGCAGGAGTTCCAGACAGCTGGGAACCAGAGAAGGACAGGTACCATGGTCAGGTGGATAATTTAATGCCATGAATGCAATAGTTTCGAGTGGGAGGAGAGGAAAGCAGCTATAATGCACAGGAGCAAAGCTTCTCTCCAAAGAGCTGTGGAGCTGCAGTAGCCATAGCAGGCGCTGCAGAAGGTCCTGCTGGGCTGTGAGGGCACATCACCATGGAAGGCTGACCCACACGAGGAGACCAGACCACCCTGAGGGTCAGAGGAAGGGACACCTCACACTGCTGGGATGCTGCAGCTGCCCCCTTCTGCCGTGCTTCTGAAGAGAAGAAAACCAGCAGGTCCTCTCCTGCTTTTTTACCAGCACACACTCCATACAAAATGGGTTTTATGTTTGCTCTCTTTCCCCTAAAGGAGGAAGCATTCTGACAGAGCAGGAGCTGCACCCCTCCATCACAGGACCCTCCCCAAGGCAGGCCCACCTGCCCAGCTTCCCTCACCGCCTCTGGTGGCCCAGCCAGGCCAGCTCAGCTCTGGCTTTATCCCGCACAGCTCCCCTGCGCAGCTCCAGGAGGGCAGCCTGGTGGCGGGCGCGCAGCTCCTCTCCCCTCAGGCACTGCTCTGCCATGGCCAGGCTGAAGCAGCAGAAGGAGCTGGAATGTCCGTAGTGCCGGCCAGCATCACTCCACTGGGGACAGAGCAGAGCGAGTTTCACACGGGGACTGAAAATACAACTAAACAAGATCCAAGCCCAGTAGGGTGGAAGCAGAGCTGGTGTTACCTGGCTGTCCTGGTCACTGCTGCCCCTGGAGCCATCTGCTGTGCAGGGATCCCCGTGGGGCAGCTCTATTGGAGCTGACAGCAGGTTCAGCCCTTGGTGGCCATGCAATGGCTCCCTGTCCTCTGCTGGCAGAGATCCTGAGGAAGGGAAGGTTTTAAGTCATCATAAATAGAATATCTAACAGATAGAGAAACAGAGAAATGACTGAAATTTGTGATTAATGGTTCCAGCTCTTGAATTTTACAGTATATCGTGAGCCATGCTAGAAAACACCACTGTTTACACTGTGCCACCAAATCCTTTAACTCAAAGCTCACCTTCATGAAGGGCTGAACCAAATGAACTCCTTCCTCCCAGAGATTTCCTTTGTCCCACAGCTTTGGAGTCCACCGGGCTCCGATCTCTCTCCACATTCAATGGAAGTTGTTCCAGGGAATGCATCTCCTCATTACTGAAGGTACAAGAGGAAGGACATTTTTTTTCTTGTTGCAGTTAGAGAGAAAATTTAAATCCCCAGCTTTCTTTGAAAAACCCTCAGAGGAGGCACCTGATGGCACCGCTGCAGGGCTGCACTGCACACTGTGTCCCATACCTGCCAGCTGTGCTGTCACCTGCAGGCTGCTGTCCTGCCCATGTTTGCTCTGCATGGTCCAGCTTCAGCACAGGGGAATCGCTGCCTTTAGAACTGCTGTGCAGCTGCAGAAACAGAAATGGTCCATAGATGTGAGTGACCTATTTGGAAGGCAGAACTTTCAGTCCTTCTCCCCTTACCCTGTTGAGTACAAATATATTTATTTTAACAGTTATTCCTTATGAGCTAAAGGACCGATGAGATGGGTACTACTGACAGTGAAGTAACTGGGTACGGAGGGCAGGGAGCATCACTCATCCTTAGGGTGTATAAAACATATGGAAAAATAAAACAGCACAGAGGATGCTTGGCTCAATCCAGAAGCAGCAGCACAGGAACTGGAATCACTCACCTTTAAATCGTTCTGAAGCAGGTCACTCAAAGACCTCTGGCTTTCCTGAAGCTCTAGCTTGGCTTTCTCACTCAGCACTGCCAGCCACTGCTTCTGCTGGAGCTGATATGCCTATGGTAGGAAATGACACGCTGCATATGGTATTTTTAACTGAGTCACATGGCTCCTCAGAGCTGGGTGCCAAAGGGCAGCAAACCCTGAGAGAGCAGCACAGGTACTGTGCCACCAACCCCTGCTGTATCCTGCATACCCTCTGGAAGGCAGCCCAAACACTTCTCTTTGCCTCAGCTGGCACAAAACAAGGCATTCGTGGCCACCTGCACTAATATAGCATTAACAAACAGTAAATAAAGCTTTGCACCTCTCCCTTGCAGCCACATGGATTTTATAAACCTGCTGTAGAACCAGCTGATGCCAATTATGGCCTGAACACACCTGTGTCCTTGGATAGCCAGCAATTTTTATTTCATTTTATTTTTTAACCTCTGATAGCAGCACTGAAATTGCTTTTTGTCTGGACTGCTTACCGTACCTTCAGTTTGTGAGCCAGCAGGAGGGAAGTTTGTTTTAAGTTGTGCAGATGGTTCCTGTGTTTCTCTTTCAGTTGTGCACAGTTAGGGTCTGCCTCACCTGCAGAAACTTACAAAGGGGATGTTAACAGTCACCATATTTTAATTGAAAAAAATAAAAAGAATCCATGCTGTATTTAATAGGTGCCAGCAGAAGAAAGTATCAGAATTTAGGAGAGGGAGGCAGCAGCAGCAGAAGGAAATTGCTTCGGATTCCAGTGGGATGCTACCCTGAAAATGCATTCCTATGCTGTCAAAGTCCATGGGGATTTAGGGATTTGCCAGGAGGGGCGGCTTGCTGGGTCCCAGCTGGGCACACAACACCTTGTGAGCAGTCAGGATATTTTCAGCAGGGTCCCAAGGCATCCAACTCCCAGCTCTGCTGTGTTTCAGGCCTGGCTGTGCTTCTCAAAGCATTCTGAAGTTGTAACACACGGACATAAACAGGGCTGCTGAAAGGGAGAGGGTGATGCATACATTTTTGTACCTGTGTTTTCCTTTTGAATCTTTCCTGGACCTGTAATTGGAAGACTCCTAAATCTCACATCTGCCTTTATTCTCAGACCAGCTTTTCTGCATGTATTTAAGAAGGAAATCGTCCCTACCTCCATCCTGTCAAGAAATCTGTTAGCAGGCAGTCCTGCAAGCAGTGGGGAGAGGGAAGGGGGTCAGATTTGGGGGGGTTGTGCCAGGAAGCAGGACTGAGGAGCTTCTAACTGTTCTCTGGTCTGAAGTCCAGAGGGTGTGTTTTTGTCACTCTGCTCCTTCACTGCATGAGCAGAATCAGATCCACTGGTTACAAAAGAAGAAAAGCTTCCCAACCTGGTGATCTCTGGGGGAGCCCTAACAGCATCACATGTGTCCTCCATCCTGTCCCTGTGCAGGGCTGCAGCCTTGATGTCTCTGTTTTGTCACGGGGGAGAAAAGCCTTTGCTTCTATGTGGGGAAAACAACCCTTGTTCCAGGTGCGCCTGTTTCCCTGCTACTTCCTTATTGTGACTCTCTCATCTGCCTTTTACAGTATAGGTGATGTAATGTTTACCAGTGATATGTTCTTGGCTGCCTTAAGCTTCTCAGATGAATTGCTAAGCTTATGCAAACAGGTTGAGTGTTTACTCTGAGCTGTGCCACTGTCACAGCAACCAGTCATAAATGAAGTGTGGGTCATAAATAGAAATAGGTTTGACTTGGCAACATCAGATATAATCTGTATCCATGTTCAGATCGCCTCAATCCAAATGACCCCACATCCCAGGGTAAACCCACAACATGCAGGGTTCAGTTTTGCTGATGTGAATCTCCCAGTTCTGGGTGGTTGTTTGAAAAGGCAGAATCACACAGAATGGTTCAGCCATCACACGGCCAACAGAAGGTTCGCTTCCAACAACTATTGGTTTTACCTCACGCTTCCCACTCCGGGGTCTGACTCAGATTATCCAATGCTCTCAGCTACCAAAGCTCGACGTGAGGGTGGCCTCTTCAGCGCAGAGAAATAAGATGATGTCATAGCAAACCAAATAAATACAGGGAAGATATGGAGCAGATCTATTGGTGCTAACTTGTCTGAGTAGATTTCAATACCAACGTGTGAACGATAGGAATCTATTAAGGCACTGTTTACTACTGGGAAGTATTTTCCATTTGTGCCTCAGACTGAATGATGTTATTGGTGTTCCATTCAGAGATTGACCACCAGGATTGATCTCAAGGTGAACACAAAGTTTTTTTCCGAGATGTTTTCACTCCTCTTGGACATCATTTTCCTAACAGAGGCTGTTGCCAGATGCATTCATTGTGTTACAACATCCTGCGTTAAGGAAAATACCATCTGGCTAGAATTCACGTATGATGAATGGCATTTTACTGCATATCCAGATAGCTTCAATGTACACACACTCTGTCTTTAAAAAAAAAAAAGCTATTTATTAAATCAATTTCCGCTGCACCTGCAGAATCTCAGCAAAGCCCTGTAGAATCTCTGTGACATGTAATTAAAAAAGCTGGGCTAAAAGTCTCATTTTTCTAATCACTTGAAGCTAGGCAGAAGCACTTACTGCTGCGCTACTCAAGGACAGCTTTTCCTCTTTCTGCCCGTGTCAGCAATCAGTCCAAAGCAGTGATTACCAAACTACTTCCATGCTGCTTCAGACGGAAGCACAACTTTTACTGCATCGTTCCCTGGATGTCAATGGAGGTGGGGTGACAGTGGTCCAGAAAGGTCTCCTGTAATGGAGACACAGACCCAGCACTAAGAGACCACTTGCTGCCTAAGGCAAGGCAGTCTTTCTCTCTCAGTCATCACTGCACTGACCTATTATGTGATGAGCTCTTCAGGCATGGGGTGGGTGAAATCCCAGCCAGGCATTTCAACACTTTGTTGGTGTGCAGGAACTGAGTTGTAGTGATGACAGGTGAGCAGAGACACAAAGGTTTGCAGACTCCAGATCAAACTGAGACACGCAGCACCAAGTAGGACAGCTGTTCGTCCTTCCTTTAACAAGACCTGAGCCAAGAGCAATCCCTAAGTAAGAGACTCTAATCTTGAGAGCTACACTTATTTACCCAGGAAAATCAATGCCCTCATCTGCATCCTTGAGTACCTTGGAGAATCTGTATTTCCACATCTGCAGTTTCTTCTCTCTTCTGTAACTATGTCTGGCATGCCACTTGTCACTGAGGGGTAGCTGCTTGCTGGACTAAGAGATTAATGTGGCCGGTGCCACTCCTGTCCTCTGCACGTTTTGTGCTTATATTTAAATCCTCTGGTGCATGGGGTTGGCCAGAGTTCAGCTTCCAGCCAGATGTTGCAGCACATGGCCATACGTCACCCTGCTATTGACCCATCCATGTGTGACATCTCACACACACAGCAAGTCAGCAGCTCTTGCCACAGGCTAGCAAGAGATGGGCCTGCACCTGGACCTAACCAGCACACTGACTTTCTGTGAAATGTTCTTTCTGTGTCTTATCTGTTATATTAAATTCCCTCAGCCTGTTGCATGCCCAGCACGGGTAACAAAGCCCCGGTCTTTGTGGCAAAGCAACACTGGACCCACAGAGCAAGAAATACACGTATCCACATGCTTTGTGGCAACGTTTTACAGGTGACTTTACAGGTGGAGCTCACCCAAGCTTTGTGAACTACAGAAAGCGGTGCCTATTTTGTGGCAAAACACGAAGAGCTCTCTTATCTCTGAGCCATCGGTCGGAGCACAATTGGCTGAATCCACGCTGCTGCACTTCTGTGCTGATGGCGTTAACTTCATCGTGCCTCCCTCTCCCACAAACAAGAAGGCAGCTCCCTCTAGTGATGTGAGACAGCACTGGATCAGCAGCTAAGCACATACATCGTAGAGATGAACATACACCTTTTGTGATCCAGGTTAAGATTATGCATTTTAAGAACGATGGGCAGCATTCCATTGGTTTCCCAATGCCACAGCTTTCAATCAGTAGCTGTGTGGAAGATGAAGCACTCACAAAAGACTTGTTTAATGGCAATTCTCAGCTTACATCTTGTCTCTCAGATACATAACAGGAAGAAGTGAGGGCCTGGCATACTGAAGTGGGCTTTCCCACTTGTAGTCCATGTGCAGATGGCATTTACAGTTCTGGGTTTCACATTGGTTGTGTTCAAAAACAAAATTCAAGAGCTCAGGACAGGCTCACTGGCTCCACTCAAGCAGTGAGCAGTTACAAATAGTTTGTGAACATCAGTTTTGTGTATTCCATCTGAAAATGCCAGTTGTCCTTTTGCCGAACGTGTTTACAACAGAGAAGAAGTAATTTCTTTGGCACAGCAATTAGTAGCTAGGTGATGCCTAGTGCCTTCTACGTGTAAATATTTATACTTTGCCCTGGCTCTATAATTACACATCATTACGCTGCGTGTGCACGGCAACTTCTGTGTCCTGTGAAAGAGAACAGAAGCAACTGCTGTGCGATGCATGACAGCAGACAATGCAGCCCTGCGTCTGAATGCCCTTTTCCAGATACGAGTGGGGAACGGATCCACCGGTGACCCATATTTCAGGAGGACATTGTCTGCAGGATGACAGTTGTGTGCCTCATCCACAGCAACACGGCCGTCGTGGGGCTGTGGGCTCGTGGTCAGAGCTCAGACTGATCTCACTGTCAGCTCCTATGGACACCCAGGGAAGGTGGAGGTGTCTCCTGGCGCAGGCAGCAGGCAGCTGCTCCCATTGTGCAGGGGCAGCAGCGGGCAGAGGGCTGTCTGTCTGCCATAGCTTCCAGAACTGGGCCTTTCCATATTAATAGTAAATAAATACAATGTCTTTCGTTGATGGTAAACACTTTGGACAATGGACTTCTGTCCAACCCTGAGAGGAACCCGTGTGGTCCCTCGGGGACCGGAGAGAAGCGCAGCAAACAATGCTGGCTTCCCCACCAATCTCAAAATCCAATATTACTTATAAAATGTTGTGGGGAAAACAATGAAGAATCCTTAATAAGAGCAAAGGCTTTTTGTAAGTACCCTCTTTGAGGAAAGGTTATCTGATCTTGTTCTTTTGTCTCAGAAAAGCCCTTAAAACAATGCACCATCTGCTGCTGTTTGTTGCAAGCAAGCAGCGATCTCTCCAGCCAGAGCAGGCCTGCGTGCTGCTGTTTGCTGCTTAACCCTTTCAGCAACAAACTTCCCCTTGTTTCTATGCAAATATCTGCTGTGAGCAGAAGTGGCACTTTGCACCCACCCTTCCCTTGGCCTTCCCTTGGCTTGAGCCTCATCCAGCCTGCATCCTTTGTCACCCCCTATGAGTGCTCTGTGCTGCACAAGGAGGATAACACCACACGCTTACCCAATGTATTAATCGTGGGGAGTTAATTGCAAAGCATCCCTCAGATGCAGCCACAGGGGGATGGAGATGGCTCAGATTGGAGGGAGGTTTGTTCCGTCAGGGCAGTCTGTGGCTGCCACCATCATCGAGGTAACAGTCTGCTGAGTTCACCTCTGCGAGACAGCGAAGCACTGAAGAAAAAGCCAAAGCACTCCTGTTGCATCTCTAGCAGAGTGTATCAGTGAAATTGGACGTGACATTTGGGGGGTAATGCTAGCTGCTGATTCTCTCCCAGTAGCACAGGCAGCAGGGGGGGGAGGCACAGAATAACCACACACCCACCCCACGGAAGCATCCCCTTACCGCAGTGCTGCTCAGTGCTGCCTCGAGCTCTGCAGGGCTGCAGTGTGCGTCTGCCTGCTCTCCTCAGGCTCTCCATGCAGGGATGGTGTTGGGCAGCTGCCCCTCGATCCTGCAGCGCTGGAACTGCCCCACACCTCTGAGCTGCAGGGTCTGTCTGCAGGCTGTGTGGAGGTAACAGTTACTGAGAGAGTTTTTGAGGTCAGGCGTGGGTATAAGCATCTGCTGAACTCAAGAACGATTTATTTCATTTTAGCAAAGCTCTCATTTCCCTCATTTTGTTAAACAGAAACAAAAGACCCACAGAAAAGTCACGGCTGCCCATGTACACAGCTGCCCGTCTTGCACCTCAGTATTGTCAGGAAAGCCAGGAATGCTCATTGCCTGCTCTGCAAGAGCATGGGGGACTGCTCTGCAAGAGATGCCTTTTTCAAAACCAACTTTGCTGTTCCTAAGCTTTATTTATTAGGGTTGCACTGTACATCACATGCCATTGTTGGCACCTGGTTGCACAGTCCAGCTCTGAAACTTGGCAGACGTTTCCAAAATCTCTTTAGAAACCCAACGTAATGATCTCAATTCTAGTCTGCCTGGGACCGTGCTGAGCATGGCCATGGCCCACCTGAGATCTGTCAGTGTATTTCCATATTTCAGCACAGTTGTCCTGACCACACCGTCAGGTAACTGCCTGACTTTGTTTTTATCCATAACTGTCTGAGCTGAACTGAAAAGATGAGGAAGGAGCAAAGGTGTGAAAATGGGCATTTATTGATCCAGCCCCAGCTTGAAATGCAGGTGGGGGACACATCAGAATGATGACAGATGTTTTCTTTTTGATACAGAAAAAAATGATCGTGGAATTTATTTTTTTTTTAATCAGCAATCAGCTTAGGGAAATCTCATTTCATTTTTCTTGTTAATAAGCTTTTCTTTGTTTGTCATGACCCAGAAACAGCTGAAACGATTAGCGCAGCCTCCGCTAGCGCGCCTTGGATGTGGTCTTCAAGCATTGGGAGCAGAGGGGGGTGGGGGAGAAAGAAAAGAGGCAAAAGGGATTTCTTACAAAGCAGTTCTAGCATTGGCTGGGCAAATACGCTGAGTAGCGTTTCTGCCTCTTTGTTGTGTTAGCTTTTCAGCCAATGCCACTTTTTCCTTTGGCTGTTGATAAATGTCTGCTTCTGTTTGGGAAGGCTGTGAACATCACTGGGAGTCAACGCTTTGTACTAGAAGACACCACACAACCAACAGTCCCTCTCCTCTAAACACAACCAGCTCTGCAGAGGACATAAATCATCCATAAATCACCCCAGTTGCCAGGTGAGGTTCTTTGCATCAACACCACCCAAAGCAATGCAGGAGGAGCCGGCACCTGGCAGCCCCAGGACACAGCACCTCCACCTGCCCCCTGCCTGCTCTGCCTTGGGCCATAAGGCTGCCCAGGGCACTTCAGTAAGTGAACGTACAGCAAAAGTGCTATGATCTGTTTGGCTCCCCGGAGACGTGGAAAGAAACAGAGAGCCACTCCAATAGGTAACCGAATCCAAATAAGGATGAAATCGCATCAGCATTTCGTGGCGGTTTGGAGAATTCCCATCAGTGAGTCATTTGCATCAGCAACAAATCTCCGTCAGCCGCCTCTGCAGACTGCAGAGCAGCCGTGCATGAAATGGGAGCATTTCTTATGGAAAGATGCACCTGTGGGACTGCTCGCATGAATATGAATCGCTGTTTTCACAGCTCTAATGAAACATGTAAACACAAAACCGTGCTGTTGTAAGCAGCTATGGTAAGGTCATGTTCAGGAGCGGTGATTTTGTAATGCTGGATGTTTTGTATTCGTGAATGAGGCTGGCAAACAGTTTTGAGCAGGTGGCTTTGTTTAAATGAACTCTTGAAGGGAATATGCATGCCAACCAACGGCAGGCACACAGCAATATGGCAGCTAGCAGCAGCACAACTGAGATCCAACTCAACTGCTTTTACCGTCACGTTTCTAACCTTGCCCTTGGCTACACTGGTGATGTACACACACGGATTTACCAGTTAAGGAAACACCAGCTGAGCGAGGAGCACTGTGAGTCACCTGCTGGTGTCCCACTGCTCCTCTCCCCAGAACCTCACATCATCATACAGAGGGGTTCAGACCCAGCCACGGACTGCTGCAGTTGGCTCAGTCCCACCTGCAGGGTGCTGGGCAGAGCTGGGCCATCCCCCCCAGCACAGCACCTCCTCCTCCCCTCCCACTGGGAAGATGGGGACGCAGAGGCCGGTCTGCTGCACAGATGTCCTTTTGGGTAATGCCTGTCCAGGTCATATTTAATCTCTGAGGGTTTGGAGGATTTATTCTCCAAGGGAGACCTCTCTGCAGGGGCTGCGTGGCCCTGCTGGGTCTCTGCCATTCTCTATCAGCAGGACAGGGCATGGTCTGACCTGCGGGTTGCGATCCCTCTGAGCTAATGGGTCCCATCCCTGCAACCAGGGACATCCCACCTGGAGCAGCCACACACACAGCACTTCCCTACCTAAAAATACCTAATACATCTCAGCAAAGCGTTCTCTGTCTACTGCCATTTACACTAACCATTGAATTAACGTTGGGTGACTAAAAATAGCCTGAGTCCATGCAGTCCTTCCTCCAAACTTCCTCCTTTGAAACACATTTTCCATAATTGCTGTGCTCTGCCTTGAGCTCTGCTTGAGGAAATCGGGCGCCTGGGAGGAGGTGTTGCTGCACACACACACAGGCTGTGGAGCTGCTGCAACCAGATTGTTTCGCCCACTTTTGGAGCAAAGTGAGGGAAAACAATTTCTGTAAATGACTTTATAGTATTCAGTTGATTAAATCAGTCTTTAATCCCCTGCAAGAAGGAGATCAGTGCAGATTTAACTAGGTACTCATAAAGATAATCAATTTATTATTCTGTCAATGCCATATGGTGAAAGAGGGAGGTTTTTACAAGGCTGTGGAGGGAGGTGAGATCTACGTGTTACTTTTCAGAAACGTTTCTGTTACAAATCCTTTGTTATTACTCAGAAACAGAGCAGAACTGTGCTGTGTGCTCTGTGTGCTCTCTAGGGCTCTGATGTTTTGAGACAGTGCAAAACAGACAACGTGGTTAACGTACTTCAAGCATCACCCTCTGCATCAGCTTTCCAGAGGCGTTTTATAGCATCACAGGGATCTTTCTGAGGTGTTCCTCTCTCCTGATGTACCAGTTGGTTGAGGTAGGGGCTCTGCTGAGCTCAGCCAGCTTTACTGGCTGTAATAATTCAGGAACACAGTGCTAATGGAGCTCCTGCAGTGCTGGCAGAGCCCGGTCTGTGCTGCCAGGAGCTGCAAGCCTCAAGTCCTGCACTGCTGCACTTCTGGCAGCTTCACCTTCAGTGTCATAGAGAGGCAGGTAAGCACACAAGGTGAAATCTGGTGCCCAACACTGCTGCACAGCTGGGAGCCTGCATCTGGGGGAAAACTTGTGTAGGGCAGATCCATCTCTAGGAGACTGAAACCTTCCTCTCAATCTTCCAGCCCTCTAAAAATAGGTGGGTCCCTCTTTCAGTATATCTTGTTGTTGTGTCAAAATCTGCCTACTTGGCAATTCTCTGGGTGAGGAGGAAGGAGCAGTCTGGCTCCAGGCTGAATTGGTGCCATTCATTTTAGCTGTGTGCGCCTGGTGCATTTAGCAGAGAATAATACATCCAAATTTGTTTACCTTCTAGCAAGGAATCCGTGAGATGGAAAGGCTGGGCTGGTTATTGGCTTTTCATGCAATAGGCTCATGTCCACTTTGGAGCCTTTATTCACTGGAAAACCTTTTAAAAAGACAAATGAAAGCATTTAATAAACATGCTCTTTGTCGAAATGAAATGTCTACGGTTTGGCATCAATTCTCTGCCCGTTTATGTGGGAGCACTTCCATATAGCTTTTCTTATCCACCGATTTCTAAGCACATGAGTTAGGCTTCCAGTTCTTAGTGCTGGGAAAGCCAGGCACCAGGAGATGAAGTGACGTGCCCAAAATCAGTGGCAAAACCAGATAATATAACAAGATGGCCATACAGGAGAAGCTATGAAGACCCACCTCCCAGGGGCTGTCCCAAGACACAACACTGTGATGAAGATTCACAGCTAGGAAAGCCCTGGGCTATGGTACCAAGAGTCTCCCTGTCTCATCTTACTGACATCATTTACCTTCCAACATGCCGCTCAAGCTCTCCCCAGCACTGGGATGTCTCTGCCTTATCCTGTGGGTGATCCACGGCCACTCTTTGCTCACAGCACTCCCACCAGACAAAGAAGCTCTTTTCTTCTCTCTGTCCAGGTCTGCTGTTCCCTCAGTGCCATCCACAAGGCTCATCCTGCCTGGTCCGTGACATCCCCTGTCTGACGGCACATGTAACTCATCAAGGCCTGGGGCTCCCAGCAGCATCTGTGCAGTCATTGTCCCATCCTGCTCATCTTTGGGTGCCTCTGGCTCAGGGACAGAAGATTCATTGGAGAGGTCCCAGTTTATCTCTGCTGATATTTTACCAGCAGCATCTTTACCACTGCTTGTTGCACTCAGCCTCTTAGTTGCCATCTCAATCTTTTCTGCAAGCTCCTTGGATAGGTTGTGTATGGCTTTCACTCGGTCCCATTGATTTTCCCATTTATTTCTATATGGAGAAAGGCCAGAAGTTGAGTAGCCTGGTTTTGTATCTTTCTGAGGAGGAGAAAAGCTCAGAGGAGGAGTATCTGGAGCTGGGGGGGAGCAGTCCCTCAAGTCCTGACATTTCAGAGGACTGGGAAGCCAGGATTCAGATGTCAGTAGTGTTGCAGAAGGTAATGCCTCTGTGTTTGTAAGTGATTGAACAGTTTCCAGAAGCTGATTCCTGTTTAAATAGAAAAATGTCAGAAAAAATGAATCAAAATCCCCCCAAAATCCGAATAGAAACATCAGCTTTTTGCACTACCCAGTATCCCCAGCTTCAAAAAAGAAAAAGAGACAAATTTGTCTATAGATACATTTGTCAAATGACAGATTGAGAGCAGAGCACAAAGTGCTGACGAATAGGGGACGAGTTGGAATCCTGCCTGGGGCTGACAAGGAATAGCAGTGTAAGAGCATAAAAGCAGACTGCAATGTTATCCTGAATCTGCAGAGCCCCAGCACCCGCCTGCCCTGGTGCCCAGAAGCACTTCAGGATGGCAGAAGTGGGCTGTGCATTGCTCAAACACTGCTGATAAAGCTGAGCACACAGAGCTCTGTGACCACTTTGGACTTGGAGCAGTGAGGGAGAGGTGAGATACGACAGGGGACTCGTCCATTGCTCTGGTTTTATAGTTTGCAGCACAACACTATGGAAAGTACACAGAGCTTGGTGGGAAGGCTTTCTGGAGTGCAGTCAGTGCTGAGTACCTGTCCCTGGGATCTCGATGCACTGCAGTAGGGGATGCTTTTTCCACCCAGGCCGTGAAACTGTGCTTCAGGGTTTCACCACTGGTTTGTTCCTGAAAGGAGAGTGACCATTCCTGTAAGCACTACATAGCTAGGCAACCCAAGAGCAGTGGTTGGCTTTTGTTCCACTTAATAATAGGTTCATTTAACCAGAAAAGCACACAAGCCAAACAACAAACCTGCTCTTTTTACTGCAGCAATAGAGATTTCCAGGCTTTTGACCCCAAAGTCATGGGTTCCAACCTTGCTAATGAGCACAACAGCTCTTGCCAGAATTAAAAGTTAATTGCTCTGTTTTTCCAGATAAAATTTTACCTCCCTAACACTTCAAATCACGTGCACTAAGTGCTTCACCTCCTGCAAGGTGCTGCAGTGATCAAGACTGAAGGGCTTTCAATCCAGCCCTCCTCCATGACTTACTGGCTCAAGTGCTTGCTGAGGACTTCCTTTGGCAGCAGCTGCTCCCCTGACGAGCTCGCACGTCTGCTCGGAGCACTTTCTCTTTCCAAGAGCTTCTCTCTGTTTCCTGAATACTTCTTGCAGTCTCTTATTCCTCATTTCCACCGCCTGCTTTGCAGACTTCTTCTCTTCCAGCTTTTTTTTCTTTCTCTCTTCATTCTTCCGACACATAAACTCCTGAACGACATCACGGCTGTAGGGGTGAGGTTTTCTAAGGTTTACCCTCCTCTTTGGAGGCTGTTTCAGGTTTTCTTTCTCAGACCCTTTCTGCACAGGGGTCCACCTCTGAGATGTGCTTTTCCCTCTGTGGATGCTTCCAGAGCTGTTGGTCTTGGCTCCAGCTGTTATTGATGCAGCCCTTCTCTTTCCTGCACTAAAGGCAGAGGGAGTCATGTCCTGAGGTCCAGGTGAAGGCAGATGGTGCTGCTGCAGAACCTTTCCCTTCATGGTATCTGCCAGGAGCCTGTTCTGCTGTGGACATGGTGGCACTGGCTCTGTAAATGGAGGCTCCTGAGTGTTTGCTTTGCACCTTTGGTTGGTGCACTGCTGGTCCTTCCAGCAGGGCCGTGGTGGGGAGCTGCACAGCTTTGGATTTCAGGGCTTTTCCCCACTGGTTCTTTTCTATTTTCTCTGGAGCTGTTCTCCATTGCTGACACTGCAGTGTTGGGCCCTGTGGAAGATTTGGAAAGAGCAGTGGTGTTATTCCTTTGGTGGTGAGACAGCTCCTGTATCTGTGTGCATCTCACAGCACATCTCCTACCACGGGGCTGAGGACTGCTGTAAAATCCTCAGTGTTGCAGAGAGAAGACAAATCTCTGCTAATTTTGGCAGTATCCAATTGTACAAATGATGTAGCTAGTGGCCCTTGGAGTGTGTATAGAATGTAACATACAAGGGCAATGAAACTCTCTTAAACCTCTTACACTTGCTTAAAAAGACCTTGAAACCATTCATTCCACAAATGGCCAACCACATTTTTGTTTGTGTGCCAGAAACAAGCAGTGTAGCAGAGAGGACAACTGTACCATAGGCATTTCCAGTGCTCTGCTCTTCAGCTCTGCTTCTCAGCTTCGGAAATGCAGGCGGTGGACCAAGCAGCTTCCTGGCTAACTTCTGTCCTTCCCTCCATGCAGAAGCACCAGGGAGCTTTGAACCTGAAACAGACATGAGCGTTAGGGAGCATCCTTCTGTGCTGGTGGCTGCAGGTAGCTTGCTGGGATTCTGGTGGACCTCAGAGCTGGAATTCTCTGTAATTACATCAAAATCACTGGAGCAAACAGATTTGTTTTTAAACTGGTGAGAATCAGCAGGATGCAGCGTGGAGAATCAATGAATGATACGGGACAAGGGACCATGTATATGTAATGCAAAAATAAATGATGCAGCAAGCAGCACAAACAAATTATTCTTGCCTAATAGGTGGTGTCACATAATAGGCAACATTCATCACCGTTTTACTTCATAATTTCATATTGCATTCACAGCATGCCAACACTCGCACTGCCATAATTATGTATTTATTGCAAATGCTCCTCAAGCAGAAAGTGACTAAATGGAAAGTTATTTGATATCTGCATGGAAGCTCCCTCCCCCTGCAAATTCTACCCTGCAAAAATATTCAAGCTTCTTAGCAAAGGAAAGATTTTACACTGAAACAGTTACCAGCCTCGGTTCAAAGCTGCGGATCAGTGCTCAGCAGGAGCCATAAAATCAATTGATTGAGCCTGCTTTCCTGGACGCACACATCCATGTCTCTAGCTGTCAGAGCAGAGCACCTCTGAGAGCCATTTCTCAGACAGGAGGCACTCTTGGAGGCTGACTGCTTAGCAGGGCTGTCCTTCCCTGCAGCTGCCAGCTGGGCACATGGCTGCAGTGACAGCGCTGGGCTCTGTGCTGTGGGCACAGCAGGTTCCCACTGGGGCTCACCTCAGTTCTGCAGCCTGGGAGTGCAGCCCGAGGCACAAGGATGATGTTTGCCATCCCTTCTGCAGGGCTGGAGGCATTTCCTACAAATGCATGGAGCCTCCTAGGGGGATTACCCAGCAGATCTGTGAAGTTCTGACGGCACAAAGCATGGGGGGAACTGACAGAATCTGATGGGCTCGGAGTTTTTGAAAAGCTTGCATTTTTAAAGAAACACCTCACTGTATTACTTTACTTTCTTGTTCAGCAGTGTTAAAATGCAGGAGAGGCATTTATTTGTTACATCATCATGGTTCATAGAATCATAGAATCCTCAGAGTTGGAAGGGATCTTTAAAAATCCCACTCCCCTGTAATGGACAGGGACATAGAATCACAGAATGGCCTGGATTGAAAAGGACTGCAGTGCTTATCTCATTTCAACCCCCTGCTGTGTGCAGGTCACCAACCAGCAGCCCAGGCTGCCCAGAGCCACATCCAGCCTGGCCTTGAATGCCTGCAGGGATGGGGCATCCACAGCCTCCTTGGGCAACCTGTGCCAGTGCTTCACCACCCTCTGGGTGAAAAACTTCCTCCTCATATCCAACCCAAACCTCCCCTGTCTCAGTTTAAAACCATTCCCCTTGTCCTATCACCATCCACCCTCACAAACAGCCGCACATGCACAGTTCAATCAAGTTGCCCACTTCCCCCAAATGCCACAGACAGATGCATCTGTAGCTCTAACAACACACGTTGCAATTAACAACCTGCACTGCCCCACAGCCTGCTTCCTCGGAGATCTTCCTTATCTATGCAGCGTTTCACAAAAACTCACACCAAAGTTTGAGAACAGTCCGACTTGCTGATGAAATCACTTACAGAAAGAAACCTTTTGATTTAAATATTCCCCCGTGTTGGCTTTTTTTTTCCCCCTACCTATGAACAGATGAATATTTTATAGCTGCTGTGACTTAATTTTTTGTTAACTACAGCAAATTTATAATTCATCAAATTCCAGAGTACTTTGGCTCTGACCTCCGACCCCTCATTCATCTCCCGTCGCTCTGCCTCAGCTCTTCCACTGACAGAAACTAATAGCCAATAAAGGCACCGTGACACTGGCAGTTACAATGATGAATGTTTCATGTGGCACGGCCTTATTATGACCCACTCTCAGAGGAAGACCGAGCCATTTTTCAAACAATCCATTAAAACAAAAAAAAAAGGAAAAGGAGGGAGGAGGAAATTATTATATATTTCATGCATTTTAAGTAGGGCTGTGGTAGCAGAGTGCATGATGCAGCTGTACTCGTCATTTCATCTGCATGGCATGGGATAACTTGGATTTTTTGGCCTCCTGTTTGCCAGCAGTTATACATTTGTCCACTTTGAGCAGCACCCACTTCCACTGTTTGCCCACCCAGTTGGAATGCAGCCATTCCTGCTGCAGAATGATGGCACAAAGGAGGGAGCATCGCTCCGATAGTTCAGATCTGTGTTGGAAACACAAAGCAATCCACGAAGGAGCACGTGGGAACCTCACTCCTGCTGCTGTTGTAGGAGGGCTGCATTCCCTGTGTTCTCCCGGCCCCTGCGCTGCAGAACGTGCCTTTTAGAGACACTCTGAGTTCAGCTGGGAGCTCAGTGGCTGACAGTCTGTTCTTCCCACCGAGGACATGAGGCTTATTTTCTATTTCTGGTTATTTTTAATCCTGGCAGGCCTGGAATTCAGCTGCCACAGGCAATGGTGTGACAGACGCTTGAAGGTCACTAAGGCTGTTCTTAGATGACACCTGTGGGCATCGGTGAGACCAACAGAGAGCCTGGGGGGGGGCACGTGGCAGTGACTGCCAAACCTTACCCAAAAGCCAATGACAGAACGGGGCAGCAGGCAGCCCTGCGTGACCCCCCAGGGCCTCAGCATGCTTCATCTGCATCCAACCCACAAACAAAGCCCTGCATCCCTGTGCTGCCTCTGATCACCTGCTGCCTCCTTGGACAAATGCTCACTTCTGTCTGTTCCCTCTTCTTTCTTTCTTGCTTTATTTAACCAGGCTCTGTTCCTTGGCTGCGGCTCCCAGGATTTGGCATCATTTTAATAACCAGATCCAGATTTTGGCAGGTGTGCTTGCAGGTGTTGTTATCTCTGTTCCATCAATCTGTGTCATCTCCCATGAATTTCATTCTTACCTTCACCCATTGCTGCTCTCCCCGGAGAAGAGGACCTGGGCAAAGGCAAGGGCTGCTTCTGGCTCTGTGTTTGAGTCCCCCGTACTGAGCCACTCTTTCTTTGGTCTACAACCAAGAGGTAAAAATGGAGACAAGAATTCATGTGAAGCTTAAATTAGAAGTCAGTAAAAGGTTGGATATGTTTAACACTCCCCTGGTAGTTCTCTGACAGTTACATTCAGGGATTTGGTTGAAAGCAAAACAAATCTGCCTTCCTGCTGAGCACCCACCAGAGGCTGAGCAGGGCTCAAAGCACTGCCTGTGTCAGCTGGGAGGCAGCACAGCACGAGGCTGTGCTCGCAGAGGTGAGCTCTGCTGAATGCTCCCATCCATCACCGGAAAAAGGGTGATGGAACAGATCTGAGGGAAACACCCCTGGAAGCTGGTGGTGTGTGACAGGGATGGCAGCGCCCAATGAATTAACACTAATGCTATTACAGCAATAAGATTTATTATGGATAGCTTCTCAGCTCCTCTTCCCTAGTCCGGCAGAGCCTCAGTAATCCCACTGCCTGAAGCTTGCTGAGTGGGTGTTACCTGCTTTGGCAGGGGGGTTGGTCTTGATGATCTCTAGAGGTCCCTTTCAACCCCTACAATTCTGTGATTCTGTGTGCAACGGGATGGACTTCAGCACAAGGCCATGCTGGATCCCATCTCTCCACACAGCACCCTGAGAGCTACATTCACACTAACCCAATGAGACAGCTGCAGGTGAGTGGTACATCAGGCCCAAACTTAGCAGCAAAGCAGGATTAAAATTTTAATTATATCTGCTTTTAGATCCACGCTAGTTCCACTGAATGAACTACTAAATCCTCAGTAATGCCTCTGAGCTACACAATTCCTGCCTTAAGTACCTGTGATGCCTCTCCGCACTGCTGTGCTATTATTTCCCATGTGCTTATGCCACTCATGTTGTGCTTTCTGCCTGGCAAAAAGGCGTGGGAGATGGGAAGCTCCATGCAACCAATTAGGATGGGAGCACAGCCTTCCACGGTCTGACAATCATCAAAGGTTGGAAAAGAGCTCTAAGCCCTCTAAGTCCCATCACCAACCCATCCCCACCGTGCTCACTCAGCTTCTCCTGCAGAGCTTTTCTGCAAAGGCTGTGCTGCCCTGTGCCTTGTGCCACTGACCTCTGGGACACGGAGCAGAAGGGACAGGCACCCTGCACACCTTTCTCTTCAGGGGTCTCTCCTGAAGCAGTTCTCGAGCATAGGATGCAATCAGGCACTTCTGCTCCTGAGAAGCTGCTTGCTGGTTTCTCTTCTGCTCCTGGATTTTCTTCTTGAGCTGCTCTAACTTCTTCCAGGATGATTTTCTCTGCAGCTCCTCCAGCTTCTGGTCACTGGGGCTCCTGGCTGATGGCGGGTAGTGCACAGGGAGCAGGACAGCCAAGGGCACGGGGGCTGAGATCTGGCTGCTCCCTGCCAGGGGGCAATGCATGCGATGAGGGGAGCAGCGATGTTTTCCCTTCTGTACCTCATGACCTCCTGCATCTGCCCACTCTCCACAATCTTCCCTCAGGCTCTGCGCAATGAGCTGTGACCCATCTGCAGCCCCCATCCTGGCTGGTGCTGTAGGTGGGCATCCCCCAGGGGCCCTGGGTGGGCTGGGGCTGGCAGCACGACTCCCATGGAAGCTGGGCTGGGACCTGGCAGGGGACAGAGAGGCACAGTTACTCTTTCTTAAAGAAAAGAACAAGCCTGAACAGGTGCAGAATCACACAGAATCACACAGAATCACAGGATCACCAAGTCCAACCATCCACCTACCAGTGATATCTCCCCACTAAACCATGACCCTTAATGCAGCATCTAAACGCGGGCCATTATTACATGGGTGGTAGTTGAGCTCCCAGAACACACTGTGCTGGTGATACTGGTTTGTTCATAGGAGCAGCATTTTGTCTGCTACCAGAAATTTGGCAAATAAAGATAAAATTGGGAAGTGCAAAGGGAACTGTGGTCTGACAAGCTACTATGAGCACGGACAAAGGCAGACAGACTAATGCAGGGAGCTGATGGAAGGGCTGCTTCCACTGGCGGAGTGCTCAGCATTTCTGGGGGTGGATGATCTGGTGACATTTTTATTTCTTTAATAATAAATTGTAAGGTGCTAAACAAGTCCTGCACCCTGGAATTTTAAACCTATTTCTGTGTGCCTCTGCCATCCCATCCCCAGGTGCTGCACACTGAGGTCATTACTCACCTGCAGGACACAGGAACCTCACAGCTCTTTTTCTCCTTCAGAGCTGTTTCATCTCTATTTCTCTCTCCATCTACAGTGTAACAAAGTTATGTCAATATTAGGAAATTGAAACGGTTCACTTTCCTGGAAGGCTTCTCCCTTTGGACACCTTCTCTCACTCAAACAGCTTCAAAGGAAGAAAAAGGATCCATGAAAACCCACAAGCCCCAGCCAAGCTCAGAGTGGATCAGCCCATCATTGAGTTTTTAAGAGTCTTGTGGAATTTGGGTAAACTGCCTGCTTTTTTGTCTTATTTTGTCAACAGGAAAAAACCTTGGAGACAGAGCACAAGCAGCTTTTGCTTTGCTGCAGCTGGTGGGCAGCAGCACTGCATCGTTTGCCCAGCAAAGTGGGGCTGCTCATGCCCTATGCAGCTCTAGCAGACAGCAGAGAAGGCACCCTTCCCTCAGCCACGTTCCCCTCCTCCAGCACCAACGCTCTCCACTTTCCCAGTAGCTCAGAACTCACCAAAGCTTTCTCCAAGCCAAAGCTTCCCCCTGGCTGCCTGCGAGTTGGCACAGCTCCGTGTCTGATGACAAAATTTGTTTTCGATCCTTTGTAGCTGTGAAAAGACAGATTTTCTCTTTTGAAAGGAGACATATGTTTTTGTTCACGGGAGCCTTTTGCTGGCATACAGTCCTCTGATTAATTTTGCAGCTCCTGGTTACTGGTAAGCTCTGGCATGCCTGAGCACGATCCAGGTGGTGCTTCCTGCAGTTGGAAAGAATGCGACCCATGGGGAAGGCAAGAGGTGAAATCACCTTTCTCTCCATTATTTGCACTCTGCCTGTATGGCTGCCTCACAACTTCACCAGAGATGATTTTAAAAAGCAGCTTAAGCTCGAAGTCACTGCTGCTAACAGTGAATTCAACAGCACAATCCCAGCGTCAGTCTGCACTGTGCTGGGATAATGCTATCTGCTCATCCACTCCATGACTGCAGCTGGTTGCACCCAATGGAAATGTTATGGTGTTCCTTACTGAGAGGACAGCAGAACAGGGAGAACTCAGAGGATGTCGCAGCTCAGCAGGTATCAGCTGTTGCTCTGCTCAGGGCTGCACCATAAGCAAGGCAAACCTTTCTCTGTGCTCACCATCCCTGTGAAAGAGCTGTGGGAAGTTTGGTAAGACGCCTTGCTTTGCTCCTTATCCCCTTCCAGTCACACACTGGGTGATGGAAGAGGTTGTGCACTCATTGCAAAGCAACAAACCGAACAGCACATTTGCACTGCTCTCAATTACACTAGGAGAGAATCCTGCAGAGGAGATGCACAGGGATGTGGCAGAGCACTACGTGTGACAGCTAACGTTCCCTGCCCCACACGTACCACTGCTTTGGCTTTCTGAAGACTGTTCCAAGCCTGGGTCACATCTGTGGAAACAAGAGATAAAACACATTTTTTAGCATCCCTTTGCATCTGTCTTCACTATAGACAACTTTACCATGTGCTCTGCTCTGAGCGGATCGTAGAGCTGGGGGCTGAACTGCAGAACTGCTCCTGGAGCACTGTGTTGGCTGTGTCTGTATGTCATGTTTTCAGTGTGTGCTGACTGCTGTCAGAGCTGATGCTCTTGAAGCCATGCTAGACCTTGTTCAGCAAAGCCCCCATTGATTTTTGCTGGTAGTTCTTGTCTTTGGGCTGAGGAAACTCCCAGAGCAGCTCTCACTGGTAGAAAGCAGCAGGAAATGGAGAGCTGCACGTTGTTCCAAGAGCTACAAGCACAGATTTACAACCGTCCAGTGCTTGCAAACTGCAAAGCATTGCTCCCTTGTGTGTCCAGACATGCAGATTAAAAGAAAACCTTTCAATAAGCAAGAAATCCTTGGTATGAAATAAAGTTATCCAAGACTGTGACGATGACTGCAGAGAGGAAAGCAGAAGCACATTACCCACGTACCAGCCAGAGGAATGGAGCCTCCGGATGCAGAGCTGCCGTCCATCCCTCAGCTGTGCTACAGTCCTGCTTCCTTGAGATCCACACCTGCAATAACTGCCCAAAAGGTCATTGCTTTCCTTTGAGGTCTTCATTACACCCGTGTGTATTTTCACTCATCCTGCTTAACACTTACCTTTTGTAGCCTCATCCATGCACGGAACACCGTCCCCTTAGGAGCTGTAGAAATGCACCTAGAGGAGCACATCAGACTGGGATCTGTGGAAGAGCTGGAGCTGCTCTGCAGCAGCAAATCCCCGCAGCCACTTCCAAGATCCCATCCTCGGCTGCTTCCCGGAGCTGAACCACACGCGGGCAGCTCCCCGGCACCAGACCCTGCTCTGACAGCGGTGCCAGGCCGGCCTGCCCTGCCCACGAGCTCTGGGAGGCACAGGGCCGTGCTCGGAAGCCCCGCACCCCGCCGGCACCGCCGCACCTTTCTTTGGGCTCTGGGCTCACGGCCACAGCGGCGGGGAGACGGCTGGGAACGATGGGGAAAACAAACAGCAACGAGAGGAGCCCAGAACTGATTTCAGCAGGCAAATTTGTGGAGAGAAGCCAGCAGCTTTCTTGACACAGCCCTGCGGGCTCCCCGGGGCGCTGTGACGGATAAGGTCGGGCTGCGGGTGGGACTGCTTCTTTAGTGTCACTGTTGCTAAGCTGCAGCGCTTGGAATCCGAGGGCAAGCGCTGCGGTCGGCGCTGCTCGCTCCTCACGTTCCAGTTCGTGCAGCAAACAGCAGAGGGCAAACTCCGACCGCAGAAAGGGGACGAAGAGCTCAGCGTTGGTTGCTGTTGGGGGGAGAGGGGGTTATGCCAGGACAACCCAGGAGAGCAGCGCTGACACCTGAGCAAAGCCAACCCGAAGCGGGTGGCAGCAGGAACGCCCTTTGCTCCTGCAGTGATCACTCTGCTCTCCCTTCTGTACTCGGCCTTTACGCACAGCATCTTTCAGGTGGGCAGCAGTGTCCCTCACTGCCTGAGCCCTACCACGGCGTTGGCTGCAGGTGGCTGTGACCACCCTCACATCTCTCCTCCGTTGGCAATATGCTGTGTGCTGCCGTTGCCATTTGGGTTACATGGAGGGGGTCCTGCAGCTGCGTGCCCCACAGTCACAGTTCCATGGTTACACCCCAAATCACTACAGTCAGGTTATAACGGCTAAGAAGAGGCTGCTGACTCAGTGCTGCTCCTCAGATGATCCATAGACATTTGTTTCCTGTGAGATTCTTATTTCTCCAAGCTGGGGATTTCCTTCCCACAGTTATCCTCTCCCATAAGCTGACACTGGGCAGCTCCTGGATCTATATGCTGTTGGTGCAGTGATGGAGGGCACATGGATGTGATAATAAAGACAAGCAAAGGAGGGTAAAATCGTTTCTTGTTTCTCTACAGCAGTAACCATCAATTGCTGCTGTCAGGGGTTGAGTTTCCATCAGTACTCTGAGGAAAGAAGTCATATCTTTGGGTCCCACCTCACTGCAGAGCAAAGCACAGTAATGTTCTGTTCCATCAGCATGTTGGTTTGTATTGAATGCGACTCTTGTTTCTGGGTAATGTCCTCAATGCCCATGCTTTATAATGGTGCAGATTTGCTTGAAGCAGCAATGTCGTTTTGTGAGGGTTCGTTATTACTGGAAAGTGCTCAGATGGCGAGGCAAGATACTGACACCACATCCTTTCATCTGCGTGGATCCCTGTGGTCTCTGGAGAAGTTCTCTTGAAGAAGCAGACTTCAGCTGCTTATGTAATGAATGTCACTGCAGTCTGTGCTCAGATATTACCGGCATTTCAGCTTTTCAAGTCTAACCAAACAAGGAATTCCTGAGCTGCAGACTGGAGTCACAAAGCTCCCACTTTGAGCCGTTCCAAACCAATGTTTTGGCCTGATTAGAGGTTGCAGTGCTAGGAATGCAGAGCTTGTCCAACAGAGAGCCACAGCTACTCGGGTGAGCCGATAAGAGCCGTAATTGCAGGGTCCATGGGCAGCTGTCCTGCTGAGTACATGTGTGCAGGGAGAACAGCAATGTGAAACCTTGGCAGCAGGAGGGCAGCTTTCAGCAGAGGTTTGGGAAGCGGGGAAGCTGGCAGTAAGTGGGAAAGCCCTGGATCCACTCGGGTTGGGGGCCCCTATGTGGGGCAGCAGCACAGGCACTGTGCTGTGCAGTCCTGTGTCTGAGTTTGCTCAGGTCAGGCTGGCATCGCTGCTGGCACTGCTTCTTCTCAGCAAGCTGTTGGAGCTGACAGGAGCCAGGAGAAGACAGATTGCCGGCGTGTTGAGCTGCACATCTTGGAGTGTTAGACCACAAATCTGCTGAGAGCTGAGGAACCGAAACCTATTTACCCTTGGGCCAAATCCCACTTCTGCAGAGAGTGAAACTCTGGGGCAGGAGCCAAGTGGGAGCCCAGGTGGAGAGGAGCAGAACTTCTTGGGTTTGTATCCCAGGTGTGTATGAGCAAAATGAATCAGTCCTCTATGGCTCTGTCCTGAGGACTGCACAGCTGCTGTCACATGCAGTGAAGGCAGAATCAGGCCCTGCGTTTTCTCTCATTTATGAAGCATCAGCCCTCAGACACCAAACTTCTCTTGCAGGTGCTCTCAGACTGTCACCACCAGTTGCAGTGGACTGTTGTGAGCCTGGAGGGACTCCTCCAGAGATCAGGGGAGGGTTTTGCAGGATGGGATACGGGGACAATTCATGTCAGTAGGAACCTACCAAGAGAGATGCTGAATTCCTCCTGCATGGTGTTATCCCACAGATGGCAGTCTCTGCATTTTCCCCATCACAGCTCATGCTGCTCTCGACAGGTACACTGACACGCACTGTCACTGTTCAGGAAATATTTAAACCAATAACCCACAAGGCCAAGCAGAATTCAGGAAGTGAGCATTTCTGTGAAGCAAAACCAGACATTCCTCCCAAGTCTCTGTGGTTTGAAGCTGCTGCATATCACACAGATACAGATCTGTCTACCAAATACACCCCACAGGTCCCATAACTTCATCCAGAGAAGAGGAAAGAAAACTGAACCTCTTTTCTTTTTTCCTGGCACCTGACTGAAGAGCTGTACTGTCAGCCACTTCTCACTGACATTCTCAGTTAGCAAACAATCACGGCACAAATGTGGGCTTCGATTGCAAGCTGATGTGACATGAATGTTGCAGTAAGCATATGGTGGGAAGAGGCAGCTGATGAAAAAACTGTGTACCATCCTGAATCTGACAGCTATGGGCTGCAGCCATTGAAATCCATGACAAAACAGTGGCTGGATTTAAAAGGGACGTAGATACAGACACTTAATGGATAGGGGTCTGATTTGAAGCTGCAAAGAACTCGGGCCTTATTACTGCATATTGAAGTCGTTTGTGAAGGTGTTATTTCTCAAACCAGCAGGAAAACAAGACTAAGATAAACGGGCTGCCCCTCCGATGATGCCACACTGGCTCCTGAGATAAGGCACACATTGCTTCTTCAGCAGGTGATGCTGTGGGATAGCAGCACTCATGCTCAGTGCTCAGAGATATGTGGGGATGAGCCCAAACCCGGCTGCAGAATTTCTGCTGATGCCACTGAACCACCTCCTCCAACCCTCGCAGCTCGTTCTGTTTCCCATCCTGTTAG